GCACGCTCAAGCTTCCTCTCCCTCTCCTCCCTGTGCGAAGCAACACGCCTCCTTTCCTCCTCTTCCTTGTGCTCCTTTTCTAGAGCCTCCTCTCTGCGTCTCTTCTCCATCATCTCCTTGTCCTCTGCCTCCCACCGTAACAGTTTCTGCATCCACTCCTTGTCTTCTGGCTTGATCTCAGCGTCGATCCACTGCTCAAAATCACAGAGCGGTAGAGGGGTCTGCAACAAATGCAATGGTTACAAAATAAATAAATCATGCAAGACTTTATTTGACACAATAAATATTAAACAACAATAATTTCTCACCATCTTGTTTATTGTTGTTGTGAAGTGTAGGCTCAAACGCAAAATTGGCACACATCCAATACCTCTTGCTATATGTGTCCTCCTCATCGGACTTGGCTACCTTGCAAGGATCGCCGCAAAAGCACATGGGCACTGGAACACCACTAGGCAGAGGCAACAGATCGAAGGCATTTCCGGTCATCCGGCTATAACTACAATTGAACATAAATACAAAAACTAAAACATAATACAATAAATAAAAACATAATATAACACGATGATAAGAGATTACCTTTGCTTACTAGCTTTACCACGCCTTGGCATCCTACCATCACATAATACAAAAAATAAAAAATCACTTCAAACATTAGGTACTAACGTATCTAGGGTTGCAAATAATAGACGTGATATATACCAAATCAATGCGTAAAATTTGATAAGGGGAGAGAGGATACCTTGCTCGCGAAGATGTATGGATCAAATCCAAGTATCCAAGGTCAAATGCGTTGATTCAAGAGATTGGACGGGGGTACGGAGAGGAAGAAACCGAGAGGGGGATGAAGGAATGAGAGCAGCGTCGGCAAGGGAAACTTGGTTTCAGATTTTAAATCAATGCTCGGCGCCATAATACATGGCGCCGAGCTCGGCGTCAAGATCTCTGGCGTCGAGGTTGGCGCCAAGATCTGTGGCGCTGAGCTCGGCGCCAAGATCTGTGGCGCCGACGTGCCAGCCACGTGAACGCCACCTAGGATGGCTTGCTGTGCTCGGCCAGGTATCTCGGCGTCAAGATCTGTGGCGCCGAGACGTGTTACCTCGGCGCCATGATTACTGACGCCAACCCCCAGGGTCCAAATATGAGTTTAAGTCTGCCAAGGAGCCAAACGTAAATTTTCTTAAAAAAAAATGATCAAATTATAAAAAATTATGGCAGCCGGAGCCCCGAGGCCGGAAACGAAACGTCGAAACCTCCACGCACCACTCCAGGCTCCAGCTTGCATTGGCTGCATGCTTTATTCGAAGCCCGTCCACATCGTCGAGTCGAGTCGATCGCTCACACGAATAGAATACGAAGACAAGATTCGTACGCAATGGTTGTGTAAGACCTTAGGAGTCCTCAAAATCATAAATAACGAACGAAATACAAGTGTTGCCACTGCTAATGACTTGGGGCGTGCTTGGTTCCAGGTGAGCTCAAAACTCATAAATAATGAACGAAATAGAAATGTTGCCATTACAAATGACTTAGGGTGTGCTTGGTTTCAGGTGAGCTCAAAATCATAAATAATGAACAAAATACAAATGTTGACATTACAAATGACTTGGGACATGCTTTGTTTCTAGGCGAGCTCGCTCGTCTTGCCAGAGCTAGGTACGGGGAGCTTGTCAGCTCGCTTGAGCTGGCAAGAGCTAACCTCGCCCACACAAGATCCGAGAAAAGTTTGCTCAACATCCAAACAGCTTGGTTTTGGCTCGTTATCCTGGCTATGGCGCTACTGCAATTCACTGGTTTTAATTTTAAAACACATCGCCACAAGTTTTTGAAATAAGAAATATGCCAATGCTATTTCCTTTTTTGTAGCCATATATATGCCACGCTATGTAAAATTCTTCTACGGTTCTACCATTCGTGGGACCGTAATTAATCCACCCTGCTCACCTCAGTTAAAAATCCATTTAAATTTCACGAAAATAGTTTCTATAACACACAATGTGCTCATGATGAGTACTAGCAATATATTGCTCTTGCATCTATTGTCTACTACAGAAAAAAAACAAAAATGGCGAGTCTTGTTTGCAAGGCTGTTATCTGGGTGTACCTACAGCATGTCCTGCCCTAATCAAGGAGAACATTCTTGGCAACAATTATAGCCCACCGACTCTGCTCACCTCCCACACCGTGTGATCTGTACTACGCGTTGCAGTTGTCATGCACGCCTAGCTGGATATGTGCACACACATCAACTCCTAGCCTTTCCTGCTCCCCTCCTCCAAATCAATAAATGCAGGATTTTTTAATTTTTTTCCTTTCCAAAAATTCGGCACAGCTTGATGCCAATTTGTTGTCTGCCAACATGACATTAATCGGAATTAATTAGAGGGCTGCAGTAAAGTTTAACCTTATCAATATTCTCACCCATACTCCTTATTTTTTCAGCCATCATTTTGTTTAATTTGAGGAGCATCATGATTATGTCTCTCTGGGCACTCATCACAGATTGAAGGGGAAAAAAGGGGTTAATAAGGTTCATGTTTCCTCCTCCTTATAAGCTTGACATTCTGTTAGTGCTGTGGTACTACCTTGTCAACATGATGTCAATCAAATAAAGAAAATTGTTGGCTAAATAGTGTACTTAAGTGCCACTCCAGACTCCAAAGTATCCAAGGAAGGAATTGGACGGGCCCCAAGTGTCAGCACATGGACCCACTCAGATGCAGCACATGGACCCACATAAAAAGACCCCAGCCCCACCTGTCATCATGATTGCCCCAGCTGCCTTGTGGGTCCGTTCCAAGCCTACAGAACAGTCCTGCACGGCTGCACTGGGACTGCCTTGATTGAGGTTTCCGATTTCCATCCGGAGCAGCGGAGCTGTTTATTTTGGCCAGGTTAGTTTCACCAAAATCCAAACTTTGACACTATGCAAAAAAAAGATTCCTGTCACATTAAACTTACGGTATATGCATGGAGTACTAAATGTTGACAAAATCAAAAACTAATTGCACAGTTTGGTTGTACTTTGCGAGACGAACGTTTTGAGCCTAATTAGTCAACGATTGGACAATTATTACCAAATACAAACAAAATGCTACGGTACCGATTCCGGGCAACTAAACATGGTCTTTGTTTGCGAAAATCTATACATCCATACATTTCTTAAAATTTGAGGGCCACTACATATAAATAATAAAATATGTAGTACCTGGAGTAGTGACCAAGTTTAAGCCTATTTTATTAGATGAAATCACAAACAATGTATTTTGTAAACTTTAAATTAAATTATACGCCCGTGAACGTATATTTAATAAGTATAACAAACACTTGACAAATTATGAAATATAAGAATTGCTTTTGGATTTATCTCTCTTGACTACAATAATACGTCACCTAGCAAGGGGCCAAAGTTGATCTCCTTTTTTTTCTTTTTCATTTTCATTTTGCACGAAACAGTAGAAGCAGTATCACATTCTCATCACAAAACGAAAAATGTCAATCTTTTCGTTAAAAAATGTCAATCTTTCGCTAAACCGACGTGCTCAAGGTGTAAATAAACACCTTGCAAAATTGCAACACAATTTTTCTTTTTCCTTTTTTTTTAAAAAAACTCCATGCTCCATTTCATTAATTATTTTTGTCTTTCTCCAATGCCCGGTGACCAACAACAGCTCATGCACACATGAGGATATCCTTACCGTGTGACAACTCACCACACACACACACACAAAACAACTACTACACCAAAAAAAAAGATTAACTCTTTCCATCTCTAAATACAATTTGAATTTCACCTTTCCTTTGAATCCCCATCCTATTGGCCAATCATCAACCAGAGCCGCCTTGAAAATCCCAACCCAATTTTCTCAAAACCAAGACAAATAAATAAATAAATAAATGAAATAATAACAAGGATAATCAGAGCATGCCAACTCATTCCAATACACCTTTTTTTTTGCCGAATTTAGTCCCCCATTCACCTCCTTCCGTTTTTAGTCCCCAATCTAAAACCTTTTTCCTTTTATAATCTCTCACTCACATTTGGAAAAATATTTGTCCCCAATCTAAAACCTTTCTCCTTTTATAATCTCTCACTCACATTTGGAAAATATATAATCAGGAGAGGAGACAGCAGAGGGAGGAGACTTGCGGCAGAGGAGGCGAAGCAGAGTATTGTTACTGCTGGTAGCCTCCTCTCCTACTACTAGTAGTATCAGTGCAGAGCATTGTAAACCCATCCCCTCCCCTCCCCTGCCGCCGCAGCAGGCGCTGCAGCTTCTCCCCTCAGCTGCAGCGGCAGCCGGCGGCTGTTCCGCTCCCCTCGCCTCCGCTTCCGTTTCTCCCGGGGTGGCGGGGTATCTATCTCAACCGATTCTCCGGGAGTAAAGGAGCCTCTTTTTTCGGTGTCCGCGTGTTCCACTGTGGGGCGTCTTGCGGCGGCGGCGCCTGGGATCGCCGCTGCTGCTTCGCCTCCCTCTCCATCTCCCTCCTCCTCTCCTCGCCTCCCGCAGCGGCGGCCAAGAGAGGAGGCAGACGGACTCATGAAGGGCCTAGTAGTAAGTACGTTCTCCTCTCGTTATTAGATTGATGGCTTGCCTGATGATTTTCCGCCTTCCTCTGGGATTTTTGTTGCGCCATTAAAGATGGCGCTTTTCATGCTAGCTCCCGAATGGGCAGGCGGCTCTTGGATTCTCGTTTTCGGCTTTATGCGCGTGGGGTGCATAGCTTGGTGATTTCACTGTGGCTGTCGAGCGCCTGGCATCCCGTGCGATCCGTACTTGATTTCGGGATCTTGGTCAGGAATGAATGGCGGGCCCTTTCGTTGCTCCCCCTGATCGTTCGTTCCCCGCGTAGATCTTGTGGCAACGAAGATGGTTTTGGTTCCGGTTGAGCAGCGAAATTTTAGGAGCTTTGTTTGATTCGAATGATTTTAGCTTCCAATTCAATGCGCCGTGTTTGGTTGGGGTGGACAGATTGATTTGCTAACTCTTGCTGCGGCCATGACGACGGCAATGCCGCTCTGCCGCTCTGCTCTGCAGGTCGTCCTGACATTGGTGGTGGTGCTGGCCGCCGCCGCGCGCGGCTCGGCCTGCGCCCGCGGCGAGCTGCGGGACCAGGCGCCGCCGGGGTCGCGCCCGCACAGCGTCACCATCACCGAGTTCGGCGCCGTCGGGGACGGCAGGACGCTCAACACGGTCCCGTTCCAGAACGCCGTCTTCTACGTCCGCTCCTTCGCCGACAAGGGCGGCGCGCAGCTGTACGTGCCCAGGGGCCGCTGGGTCACCGGCAGCTTCAACCTCACCAGCCACCTCACCCTCTACCTGGAGCAAGGTGCCGTCATCGTCGGCGTAAAGGTAATGCCGGCAGTGGGGTGGGGGGCATTGCCTTGCTTTCGATTCCGTTTCTTGTCACGGGTTGTTAAGGCAGTAGTAGTTACAGAGATTCTGCTCGCGTTGGCATTCAGAGTGTGTGTGCGATTGGTGCCTATCCTATTCAACCTGCATTGGCTGGATGTGAGCTGGTAGTAGGATTGGTATTGCTGATCTGGTCATCTTAGTCTGTTTAGATATGGTTGTTGGATGTACCTCAGGAAGGAGTGATTTTGACATCTGTGAGGTGAAAGTCACATGCCATGGATTTGGACGCCATCTTTCTTGCTCTTATGTTCTTTGTTATTGCTTCATATCATGGGGAAAATCCTTTGCAGGTATCACGATAAGTAGTATTCAAGTTTTGTTCTAGATGAGAGGCTTGTAGTTGTTTCTTTTCTTTTCTTTTTTTTTGGATAAGTCTTGTAGTTGTTTCTGTTTGCTTTTACTGTATTGAGTGAGTTTTTGGAAGGTGAAACATAGCTATTGCTGCGAGGCAGGTAGCCAAGAATAGGCAATTTCCTTTTGCATAGTTTTGAAGTCAAGCTTACCTCATTAATCTTGTATCGAAAAAGGCTAGGCGTGTTTCTTAGGTCCTGCCATGCAGATTGTGGTCACTTCTCTGTCTTTATTGAACCTTTTTTCGCTTTTGACTTGCATAACTCCTTAGAAACGTGGTTTGGCATTACACATTGTACGCCATATATGTATTTTGGGATGTAAAAAGGCAAGCAGTGCCATGTCCTCCAGATATGAAGATTTTTGTATTTTTAATTATTAAAGGTGCTGACATAGGTATCTTTTCTTTGTTTTCTTTCTCATTGTAGGACTCATCACAATGGCCGATCGTGGAACCTTTGCCATCTTATGGCCAAGGGACAGACCTTCCTGGTCCTAGACATCGAAGCTTGATAAGCGGATACAACTTAACTGATGTTGTCATAACCGGTAACTGCTTTGTTCTGTCTTGTATATGCATTTTTCAGCTTTGTTATGTTCTTTAGTCAAAATTTAATGGCCCTTGCATGTCTTGTCCACTTATTCCAGGGAACAATGGAGTTATTGATGGTCAGGGCTTAGTATGGTGGCAGTGGCTGCGCTCCCATGAGCTGAACCATAGTCGACCTCATATTTTGGAGTTTCTGTATTCTGAAGATATTGTGATCTCAAACTTGACATTCTTAAATTCACCAGCCTGGAGCATACATCCGGTGTACTGCAGGTGCAATGCCATTAACTTAGCTTTGTGTGATGTTGTCAAAAAAAAACTTAGCTTTGTGTGTAAGGTGTGGCCAGGTGCATTTGTATTAACGCATAATGTTTTTGTATTCTCTAGCAACGTAAAGGTCCACAATGTGACGATTGAGACCTCACTGGACGCTCCACTGACTGATGGCATAGTTCCAGGTATGTTTTTTTTCTCTCTAGTCTGAATACATACATATTTTTGAAGGGCGGGCCTGGTGCAACCGGTAGAGCACTACCGACTGTGACCGGAAGGTCCTGAGTTTGAGCCGCAGCCTCCTTGCATTTGCACATCGCAAGGGTAAGGCTTGCTGCTAATACCCTTCCCCAGACCTCGCACAGTGCGGGATGCTCTCAGCACTGGGTACGCCCTTTTTTGAATACATATTTTTAGGTTTTATTTTCATATAGCATAGATATTTTAATTCATTCTTGCTGGTAGCATTTAATGCGTTAGTGCTGAATGCAGCAAAAACATCCTGATTCCTGATGAAACACTGATTCTCCTTTTCCCTTTTCTTGTTTTTCTGTAACATCCAAGCCTGTATAATATGCCCCAACTGTTCCTCCATAGCCTTAGCAAAGAATCTGAACTACTCGTAGTTTGTAACTCTAAAATGCACTTGACAGCGATGACAAGAAGTTTTTACTTATTTCACTAATTGTTCATTCTTGGTCCAGATTCATGTTCAAACTTATGTATTGAAGACAGCACCATAAGTGTCAGTCATGAAGCAATTTCACTGAAAAGCGGATGGGACAAGTATGGCATTTCCTTTGGGAGGCCTACGTCTGACATTCGTATTAGCAGAGTGGATCTGCTATCATCTTCTGGAGCTGCTCTTGCATTTGGGAGTCAGATGTCTGGTGGGATTTCAGATATTCATGTTAACCACCTCCGGATCCATGATTCCTATAAAGGTATTTCTTTCAAGACATCACCAGGTCGTGGGGTTACATAGAGGAAGTGGTCATCTCGGAGGTACAAATGGAAAATGTACATGTTGGCATTGAGTTCACTGGTAACTGTTCAACCCACCCAGATGACAGTTTCGACCTGTCGGACCTCCCGACGATCGATCAAGTCACCATGAAGAACATGGTCGGCACAAACATCTCGGTTGCTGGAGTTTTGTCAGGAATCGATAGTGCCCCATTCACAGCTATCTGCCTTTCCAATCTCAATTTCTCTATGGCTGCAGATTCTGGTTCAAGTTCCTGGTCTTGTTCCAATGTTTCTGGCTACTCTGAGGCGGTCTTTCCTGAACCTTGCACAGAGCTCCGCGATCCATCCTCCAGTTCTTCCATGTGCTTCTCCCTTGCTAGCTACAGTGCCATTGCAACAGCATAAATGTTCATCCTTCCATTTCTTGTTCTCCCCATTTCTTGCTGCAGTCCTTGCACGATCGATTGAGCCTCCATCACCATCTTTTTCTCAATTCTTTCCCAATAAACAACTCAGGAAAAAGGAACAATATCGCTGCCCCCTCTCATGGCCCTGAGCCTCGGATTATAAGCTGCATGATGACCTTGAAGGGGAAGAATCAAGTGGGGATTGTGGACAGCTAGGTGCTTGCTTGTACAGCTACATTTCTTTATTCAATCTGTAAGAAGGAATTTTTTTTTGGTAGGTGTTGAGTGCAGAACAGTTGCTTCATACTATTGTCATCTGGTTATAAATTATCAAACATCATGATTAAATTATAGTATGTGTATATTCCATCCCCCCTTTGAGCGTACATTCAGTCTGATTGATTGAAAGGCATGGCATGTTATCTTGTAAGTCTGACAGGCTGGCTGTGAATGTAGAGCCAGGGTGCTGGTGTATATAAATAAAGAACTTGGTGTCAATTGGGTTGTTAGACTGATGCTGATTGCTGCTTTTGTCCTCTCTGCGGGATATTATTAGCTTGGCACAATTGGCATGGTTTGCTCCAGTGAGGGCATGTTAGGTTTACCAATTGTGCAAGCCTCTTCAACTGCCACCTGCTGCCGAACAACTGATAGAAAGTTGTCGAGACTTGTGGAGAGCTGGTGACATGTTTGAGCTGTTCATCATGGCCTTATTCTTGTACCCTTTGGAGGAATCTCTTGGTGTCGTAAAGGTTGTTGAAGTTTTGTTATGTTCCTGTAGGGCTGTAGGAACTATTATATTATTATATGAACCGAACTTATACAATAGGCTTGTCTTACCAGGGTCGGTTCTGGAGTTCATTTTTTTCCTTTTTTTTGGGAGTTGGTGTGTGTGTCAGGCTGTTTAATTTTATCAGCTGTTGTTTTTTCTTATTGATTCCGTCTCCACACAGGTGAACTTATATATCTTGCTGTTTGTGTCCGGATCTTCATGCTACCATTTCAGATTATATGTATTTATTTTTTTAATCCCTATCCCCTCTACTATAATTGCTTCCTCTGCCGACACAACCTAACTCCTAAACACTGCCACAACAGCCATGGCGCCATCTTTTGGGGGTGTTTGAGACTGATCCGCTCTACGTTTTTTAGCCAAACAGTTTTAGCTCAACGTACTTTGTTCGAGGAAAAATGGTGGAGTTGTGAGAGCACCTAAAGAGGTACTCTACAAACTCTAGTTTTTTTTAAGCTACTCCATATTAGAGTTTGTGAAGCAGTCCCAAACACCCCCTTTGTTCCGGTAAATCAAGGGGGCACAATTTGAGTTGCTACACTCGCCATGCAGATTCACTTTATCCTTTAGCTGCTTATGATTAGAGCATCTCCAACAGTCCCCTAATTTCCATCCCCAATGAGAAAAACTATAATTTGAGGGATTTGAGAGTTCCAGCAGTACCCCAATCTCACCTTCAATGAGCAAATTTTTTTCTCAGCCGCTCAAAATCTAGCCCCCGACCCCTCGAAGATGAGGGACCTGGACTGGCCCCCAATACGAGCGGTAGCACGCATTTGGCATCTTCAATGTCACCGGCGGTCTCGGCGTAGGAGGGTGGCGGAGGAAGAGGATGCGACGCGGCCTGGCGACGTGGCCAACAAATGAGGTGACGACAGCGGAGGAGAGGTGGCTGAGGAGGAGCGCAGGAAGGGAGGGAGTGGCGACGAGGAGGGCGGTGGAGGAAGAGGATGCGGCGCTCGGAGAGTCGGAGGTCGCGGGGGAACGAAGAGGTGGGGAGAGAAAAAATAGAAGAAAGGGTGTGAATGACAAATTAGCCCCACATGTCAGAGGAGATATTGAGGGTGAGATTCTCTCGTTCCGTTGAAGATGAAGCCTTTGGGGTTGAGATATTCTCCTACTGCTGGAGATGCTGTTAGACCACATGTTTGCACCAACTTCGACGCCCTATTTATCTTCTCCAACAGTAGCCGTCATCAAACACAGCTGTTGGGGGTCAGTAAAGCCACGCGGAGCAAGGAGTACATGAGCCTAATTTTGCCTCCACTTGGCTCTACTCTGAATACAGTAAGGCAACACTCCTTAAGTCCACATACAAAATTAAAAGTCTAAAATTGCACCCCACAAAGTCTAAATCTACATATACTGAAATTCAATCCTAAAAATTATTTAATAATTAATTTTGATGTATGATCTCAATCTATGTGAATCTTGATGGTTGGTTCATGGAGTGAAATCCTACAGCCCCTGCGGGTACAACTCACACGAGTGGAAATTTGCGAGTAGTGACTCTGGGGACCTCTGTATGACCTAGGGTTAGCACCATGTCTGTCGAGAGGACGACCCGAGGTGCTAGCCTAGTGGGCCAGGGTAGAGCCCTCGCGGCGGCTGTCATCATATTGCATCTCTATCTCATTTATTTAAGCTTTCACATTCTCTATCTGTACCTAGGTTGTGTACTTACTCTTCTAGATAGGTAGCAACACGGTTAGCAAAACCTTAGTTGCATGTCTAGACATATTACTTTCTTACATAGGTTTCGATAAGTGGAATTAGCGGCCAGGTTTAGAGTAGAAGTTTTTGAACCCTAATTCACCTCTCTTAGGCGTCATGGTTCCATCAAGTGGGACGAGAGCTGGTTGGCTTAATTTAGACCTTTGGCTTAACCGTCATTGAGCCAACACCGTTTAGAGTGGTTAGGATGGATATCCATGGCCCTCTACAGTTTGACATCACTAATTTCCCCTATTGGATTGCTAGAATGGATTGCTATGTAGAAGCAGTTGATCTAGTTGTTTGTTGAGTCACTCGTGGTGGGGTGAAACCCTGAAGAATCCCCAAAACCCACCACGAGTGATGAAAAAGAAATCCATCTAAATGCTCGAGCTAAAAAATGCTTGTTGGATCAATGAGCATAGACATTTTTAATCGTGTTCACTTTAACTAAAGCAAATAAAATTTGGTTAAAATTAGATGACCTCCATGACAGATCAAGCAACATCCGTGAGAAAAAAAAACATTGCTTAACTAAACAAACCTATGATTCTTTCACTATGAAATAGAAGTCTGTGAGCAAAAAGATGAATAGGGATTCCCCCCCTCCCATTTCATTAAGGAACATATCTGAACAAACTTCGGGCCTGTTTGGCATGGCTCCACTCCACAACTCCACCAACTCTAGCAAAAAATCCAGCCAAACACACCAACTCCAAAACTCCATGGAGCTGCCAACTCCATGGAGCTGTAGTGCAAATGGAGGTGGAGTTTTGGAGCACCTCTTTTGCTGCTCCAAAACCCCTTTCTTGAACCTCCTCGTGGAGTTAGTGGGTAATTACCCACCAATGCCACTCGTTACAAAAAAAAAACGATTCGTTTTCTTTTCTCGCGAACCCGCGCGTTGTGACTTCCTCCTGCCGCCATTGCTTCTCATCGGGCCCCTCCCTCACGTCCGGCCGGCGGCCACGTCACGGCCCCATCAGGCGCGCCTTCGCCGGCAGGCGGTCGTGCCTTCTTCACGCGCCAGCTCGCCGCTGCCTCCCTCCACCGCCGGCGAACTACGACGCGTACGGGTGCCTCTGGGTGCTGAACCGCTTCGCCGCCAAGCACAACTCGCGGCTGCAGCGCGAGGTGGCGGAGCTGCGAGCGTCGTGTCCGGGGGGCGCGACTCCTTCCTCGCGCTCCTCCACAACACCTCCTCGCTGGGCTTCGACGTGGCGAGCACGCGCAAGGCCTGCTGCGGCGGCGGCAGCGAGTACAACTTTGACTGGCGGCAGATGCGTGGGTTCGCGGGGGCGACGGCGTGCGTGGAGCCGGCGGTGTACCTGAGCTGGGATGGGATCTTCATACAGGATAGATAGGGATATGCTATAAGATAGAGGCACGTACGTAATGAATCAAGCTATGAGCAAAGTACACGTTGCAGCAGCAATGGTGCCATCACGATTTCATCTAAGCTAAACACAGGAGACTTCTGAAGAAGAAGATGGGGTAGAGAGGATGACAAGTGTGACCTGAATTGGGGGACAACAATGGCAATTCACACTGAAATCGGTTTTTTTGGAACTGAGAGCACCCATCTAGCCAAACACCACATTTTAGTTTTAGAGTTCTGGAGTGGAGCTGGCTCCACCTGGAGTTTTAGAGTGGAGCAGCTCTACCCAGAGCTGGAGCCATGCCAAACAGGGCCTTCATATGTATGATCTTTCCAATTCTTTTTTCTTAACCGAGCTGTCAAAGTTAGAAGTCCTTGACTGCACGCTCTTGGTGATATTTGATGCGAGTTGGTCATGCTGTAGAACTTCATAGTATACTACAATAGTAGCATTAGATTCTAGTTGGTCGATGGTCCAGAGCTTCATAAAGGCTTGTTTTTCCAAAATGCAACTGCCTGTTCTGATAAACAAGAAGTAATGATGTTTAGGGTTTGACTGAAGCACAATAGAATTTTTTTATGGTGCAATGTCTCATGACAAATGAATACACATGTATAATGCTCAACCATTACTTGCCATGCATCTATAAATGGGCTAGAAAATCACACAGTCATTTTTAACCCTGTTAATTTTTCATTCGTGCAAAGATGAATGCCTATAAACTACTAGTTAAGTGCCCAATCCTTTTATGAAAGCTATACCATAGTTTACAGGAGACGAATTGACAGTTACAAGAAAGAATCGGCTACAATCAATGTATATTTTACATTGGCAGTGTTGCCTATACGTACACCAATATTTCCTACACATTTTGCATTGCTGATTAGTTTAGCGATACGGATATGGTAGCGCCTTTTGGGAGCAATATTGTCTCCGATTTTTACCATAGGATCATCCGATCATGACTTGCTGGTGCTGAGATGGACCTTGATAAACAACGGCAGTTGCTAGAGTTGTTGCTGCAGGAAGCTGATGGTCAGAGATTCAGTCATGGTACACACGAGAGACCGAAATCAGTTAAACATGTAATGCCAAAGAAAAAAAAATCATAAC